CATGAAAAGCAGTCTACTATTCTAGAGGCCCTAACGAGAAAGTTCACATTGTCGCCGGATCTATCGCTCCGCAGAGTCGCCGATCGGCTGCCTCTGACCTACACGGGTGCCGATTTGTACGCCTTGTGCTCGGATGCTATGCTCAAGGCTATTACGCGCAAGGCTACGGCTGTTGACGAGAAGATCAAGCAGCTCCCTGGAGAGCCGGTCAGCACGGCGTACTTCTTCGACCACTTGGCCACGCCCGAGGATGTGGCGGTGATGGTTACGGAGGAAGACTTCAAGGAAGCACAGGATGAGCTGGTTCCTAGTGTTAGGTAAGTCCCAGCAACTGATCCCTCTATTTTCAAGATTTCCCGCTCTAACAGCGTGCAGTGCCAAGGAATTGGAGCATTTCGAGCGGATCCGACAGACGTTCGAATCGGTTGATAAGCAGAAGCAGGAGTCGGGCAATGCCGCGCCCCAAACCATCGAGGAAGTGCTGGAGGCACTCAAATCGGGAGATCAACTGGAGTTCAGTATGGATGGACCCACCACCAACGGAGACTCGCATGTCAACGATTCCGGAAAGGGTAAAGGCAAGCAAGTACCGAGTGGCCAGTCGGCTAGTGGGAAGGGTAAGGGGAAGAGTCCTGCAGGAACAGGCGGCAAGTCGAAGAACAAGCTCGTGGCCATGCCGAACGGCGACTCGGATTCGTCTCTGGACGGACCGACGGCCGACCGGGGCACAGGACGAGGCTACGATGATGTTGGCGAGGACGATGAGGATGGGGTGACCAACGGGGGAGATGAGGACTATATCATCCGTACCGACCATTTAGCACAGGACGGTGGATCCAAGTGAGTAGGAAGAGGCAATGGACGATAGATTCCTGGCGCCACCGGATGACCTGTTGTATGATTCATCATGATATAAGGCCATCTGGAGGGCTGGTGTACATATTATACATATATTATAGCTGTTATGACTGCATACCATGTGAGAAGAGATTATGATGTTATTATACCATAGTACTATCCACACATTTGCTATTCCATAATGCAGGCAGAAATGGCATGCGGCTCGCGTGCTTCATAACGATCGGGTCCGAATGCGTTAACCCCACTCGGGTTAGGGGGACCTTAAATTCCAGTTAGCGATGGGTATTAGTTTTGCTGTCAAAAGGAAGATAATCAGCTCTATCTTTGGTATAAAAGAGAAAAATATGGGTATGGAACTTATCTTCTTATCGGTTCCTGATAACCGACAAAGACTGTTTGCCTTCTGTGAGTCAATTGGTGCCCTAATCATCAAGTGTTGCCACATTCTCATCACTGGGATAATAACTATGAGATATCTAAACCAGGAGCGGGAGCTTATCTCTGCTGGAATCGGAGCAGGTCCTTTGCCCAATCCATGTTTCACCGGCCAAATAAGCTTCGTCTCCGTCACCCAAACCTGGTTAGACTCCGGTCTTCTCCAGCAACCCATCCTCCACTATCTCGAATGTGACTGGTGGTCGGCGATTCGACTTCGGCGCTGTGCACGAATCAAGATGAGTCGCACCACGGGGGTTCTTATCATTCAGTCCCCTTCAGTGCCATGGTGGGTTGAGAAGCAAGTAAGGCTGGCACTGACTGGTAGTTCTCTGCAGTGGAAGTTGTACCTGTTTGATATTACCCCATATCCATTAGGTAACAGACGACGGAGCATCTCCGCCACTGCGATTCCCTCCCCGCAATTTCGCTGCTCCTCGACCAGCCAGAGCTGCTCTGGCTTCTCATACCTCGGGGAGATATTGTTGCTCCCTCCCAAATTGAGCTGCGATAATCCCGGTGGATAATGAATGGATGGCATCCGTTTGTCGTAATGACGGGCTTGGGCGTGGAAGCCTTGTTCCGTGACCACCCCTCCCTGTCCCTCCCCTTCCTTTCCTCCCATTTCCGCTGTCGCCTTCAACGGGTCTGACGTGCTTTGCTTTCTCTCTTATTTTCCCGCGGGATTCCCTACATTCTCTTTCTTGATTCATTATACCTTTCTCCTTCCTCCCTCTTCTTCTTCCCTCCTTCCTTTCCCTAATCCTCTCTGTTCGATTCTCCCTTGATCCCGTACAATTCCTTTGGTTACACATACTCGGGCAATTGATACACCTCGCCCACCATGAAAGACTTTCGGGGAGATGATGACGCCCAGTTGGCGGCCATGGGCCACAAGGCCGAACTGAACCGCAATTTTTCTATGCTGTATGTCACCCTCCCACCCATGCCCTGATGCTGCTGATCTACCTCTTCACGTGGACCAATACTGATGGATGGTCGTGGTTGATGCAGGTCAATGTTGGGTTTAGCGTTTGCCATTCTGAATGTACGTCGGCAAATCATCGCCTCCGCTCGACCTCGATAAGAGACCGTCTCTGGTACTAGACCACACCGGGAAGTTGATAGCTAATTAAGTCTGCGCGCAGTCATGGACCGCTTTATCGGCCAGTTTATCCCTCAGTCTGCCATCTGGTGGCTGCGTTAGTGTCATCTGGGGTAAGTCATTGGTGCTGAGGATTTATTCCTAGTTCTTGTTTGCATGCGGGGATGTTTTATGCTAGGATTGTGGTGGTGGTAGGTGAGGTTCCTCGGCTAATTTATGTATTTTCTAGGGTTGATCACGGCTGGTATCTGTAATCTTTGCATGTCGGCTTCGCTTGCCGAGTTCTTGTCTGCCTATCCTACGTAGGTGCTTCTGGCTGTGCTTTTTGATGTCTGAGACTAATCGTGGTTAAGTGCTGGTGGACAATATCATTGGGTTGCAGGTGAGTGATTCATGTTCCATACTTTATGATTATTACGGTGCTAACTATTCTTTCTCTACAGTTAGTATGTTTTACGATACCTGTTTGTTGCCGCTTCTTGCTGACAGTAGATGAAAGTTTCCTGGGAGAGATGGATGCCCCTTCTTTCGTGGATTACCGGTTGGGCAAACGTGACTGGCTGGGTATGTATACAAGACTTTTTTATGTGTATAGCTGCTGATTCCTAAAGGTTGCCCTGACTGCAACTGGAGGTCTTCTTGGAAGTGAACTGATCTTGGGTGTCATCTCGTTGATGCATCCTGTGAGTCCCTTTCTATCTTTTTGATCTCGACAGTTACTCACAACTCAATAGTCGTATGTTTCGCAGCGCTGGCATCAGTTCCTTATCTACATCGCCTATAACGTTATTGCATTTCTCATCAATGCCTTTATGGGCTCGCTTCTTCCCTTGGTAACTAAGGGTGCCTGTGAGTGGAATTGTCTGCCTAAATATGTGATCTTGAGCTGACATGTCCAGTTATCTGGTCCCTCACCGGCTTCACTATAATCTGCATCACTCTCTTAGCATGCGCATCCCCTAACTACAACTCCGGAGAGTAAGTAATACATCGGCTAATTGCTTCTGTACGTTATGCTGACCAAATAGGTTCGTCTTCGGAGAATTCATCAACGAAACAGGATGTATGGCAGACCACACCCCTTATTGATCGGTCAAGGCTAACATTTCTTAGGGCCCGATGGACTTGCTTGGCTGCTCGGAGTATGTTTGCTACCTTAATTCAGCGTGAAGTTTGTTACTCATACCATGTAGCTCCTTCAAGGTGGACTGGGTCTTACCGGCTTTGTAAGTCTTCTGCTTTCTGTTGTACAACACAGTACTAATTTCTATTTAGGATGGTGTCGCACACATGATCGAAGGTAAATTTGCCGATACTACTGGCGTCGTCACATACTGAACATTCATAGAAATTCCAAACCCCTCGGTGGTTGGGCCCAAGATCATGATCGGTTGCGTCGGTATTGGAACCTTTACTGGCACAATCTTCTTGATTGTTCTCCTCTTTGTGGCTGGGAACATCTACGAAGATATCAACTCCGCGGCCACGCCTTTGCTGCAGATTTTCGTCAATGCGACGAGCAACAACGCCGGTGCCATCTGCCTTCTCGTGTAAGTTGTTCCTAAGATGTCGACCCGCATTTACTGACATGTTCAAGCTTCCCTCTCGTGTGTGTTCTCTTTGCTGCTATTACAATCATGACGACCAGCAGTCGTATGATCTACGCCTTTGCAAGAGATGGCGGTCTCCCCGCTTCTCCTTTTTTCAGCAAGGTGCACACCAAGCTGGAGGTTCCTCTGAATGCATTGTACCTTACCAACATTCTGGTCATTATTTTTGGGTGCATTTTCCTCGGCTCGTCAAGGTATGTAAACTGTAAAAAGTAAAAATGCATATTGCGGTACGTTAACCTCTCAACAGTGCGTTCAACGCTATTGTGTCGGCTTCGGTTGTCATGCTTGATGTGGCGTACGGCATCCCTATTGCAGTGAACTGCATTCGCGGCCGGAAGATGCTACCGGAGAGGTCCTTTGTCTTGCCCAACGTTGTGGGCTGGATTGCAAACCTGGTACGTCTGACTAGGGACAAAATTGATCCATAAACCACTGACATGTTTCCTGGATAGATCTCGCTAGCCTACGTTTCTCTCACGACCGTGCTCTTCCTCTTCCCCCCTGACTACCCTGCAACTGGAAGCAACATGAGTAAGTTCGTCCCGGTATCCACTTTACCAAGTTTCTAATGTGTCCACTCCAGACTACTGCGTAGCCGTGTTTGGAATCGTTATGGTGGTGTCGATCTTCCAATGGTTTGTTGACGGACGTAAGAACTTCACCGGACCCCGGATGGATGTAGATATCATCAGTGGCCAGGTAGCCCCTGGTGAAGGCACCGATGAAGTCGTGGTGCCTACCAACTTTCATGAGAAATAAGCAGGTCGCAAATTGGCGAAACTTATGAACATGGGCCCGAGCACAGGTGCTCAGGCATTTTTGGAAACCTTTTTTGTATATAACACACGGCGTCTTGGAGCATAGAGTTTAGCCTGAATAGTCATTCACTCGAACCACTGGTGGCAGCCATCTCCGGTGAATGCAGCATGAATTGCGTCATATCCAGAGGCGGGAGATGGGCCGATCCCAACAACTCCAGATAACCGCTCCTCTTTTACCCCACAATTCGGCTCACTTGCTCTTTGTTGACCTCGTGCACACCTCGTGCTTCTCTACACGCGATTATCAGGGCAGATCTGAACTTGATAAGACCGATAAGGCTGCTACTCTGCCGATCTTCACGGTCTGAAGCGTGCATCTACCTGTCGAGTGAGTGATTCTTCGAGTGTCTCTCGGCGCCCTCGAAAACCGCCCGATCTCAACGCCAAGACCGGCCGCTCCAACGGCTCGTCAACAGATCGGGTTTCCCGTGCTAGATAGCGATTAAGCTGCCTTTAGTCTCTGTTTCCTTCTCAACTCGAGTAAATATGTTTTCCTTTCTACCTCAGATCAGCAGAATATTCGGGGATCGCGTATTATTCGCGCTGCCTTCTGTGAAGATTCAGGAAATTGATACAGCTCATGAGAAGCCCGCGCGCGCGCTGAAACATCTGCTGAAATTGAATCATGCCAACCATGCCATATTGTACAATGATCGAAAGTTTCATAATCATGCCCCGCACGTAAGTTGATCATCACTCATTCTTTTGAACACTGCTAACATACACAGATTCTGAGCTCATCGTTCATGCAAGGTGCTGATGCAGATGACTTGCACCGTGTATATGAGGCAGAGTCCAAGCACCTGGAACCATGGACTGATGCTCCTGGGGAAATCAGTGACTTTGACTGGAGAGATTTTCTGGGTTGCAGAGAGTAGGGCTCATTCTACAATCTGACGACCACTCGCTAATATGCGTTGAATAGGTACCAACGTGCCTTTGTGGACTTCTTTGAAGATGAGCTCGTCCGCCAGTCCTACGACTGGAAGCAAGTCGTCAACGAGTACCTTTTCTCCGGAAAAGAGCCCATCTTCAACTCCATCATCTCCGATCGTACGTTGTGCAAGAAAGGCACCTCACTAAAAACACCGCACTAACCATCCAACGCAGTCGGCCACCCCCTAATCCACCTGGCATACGCCTTCGAATTCGCCAGCCGTGAAGTAGCCATGGAAGCCCTAGCCCTGACCTCAACCTGCTACAGTGCGATTCACAAATACCTGGATGATCCATCCTACGCCCAGGCCGAATCATCCTACCAGTCAACCTCCCTCTTCGACATCCTCGACAAAGTCCGCCTCGACAAGCAATTCAACGGCCTCTTCGGCACCCCCGGCGGCAACAACATGGACATCGTCTTCCGCGACCGCGAAGCCGCCCTGCTCAACCACTGGAACGCGTGGAAAATCCAAGACCCTATCGCCCAGTTCCGCGAGAGCCAGGAAGTCGCTGTCGCTATCCTGACTGGCACGCACTCAGACCGCACCAGCGAACAATACGACTTCTTCTTCGTCCACATCCTCACTACCAGCCACGCTGTCCGCGTCTTACTCCCCCTCATCCCTCCCCAGTTCCAGCTCTCCCTGGTCAGACAGTGGTGGCTCATGACGCTGTGCGTTTACATTGCTCAGCTGCGTCCGAAGATCGACCTCGACCGGATTCGCAAGTATGACCTTGGTGGTCGTGATTGGAACTGGACTGCTAAGAGGGCTGTGAAGAGTGAGCATTCGACTGATGCGCATTATGTGAAGGCCCTGCGCGCTTATAAGGAGTGCGCGGCAACTTGGGGTGATGCGGATGAGTTCTATCTCAAGGCCGCGGTGAGGTTCGGTGAGGAGTTTAATGGTTGGGGTGGGTTTGTTTAGGATTGGTTTCGTGGATGTGGTTACAGAGAGTGGTTTGTTGGTGGTGTACTTGATATCTCTGCTCTTTCTATGTACGTGAAAAGTGATACTTGATAGGTTTGTGCAGAGTAATGAAATTCCTTTTCTCTCTTCCTGTACGACTCATTGGATTCGACTTTTTCACGAACTGACGCTTTAGGCCCATTGGGAGATAAAGCGGTAAAAAAAGGTACTAAGAATCAGTAGTATATGTTAGTCAATATGAAAAGTGGAAACTGTCATTTCAAGAAGGAGCACACGAGCATACAAACACAGTGGCCTCCCAAACCTACTAGTAAGCAGGTCTAGCTACCCAACTACCAATCGATTTGGAAAATTTGACATTTCACTTCATCTTCGCACCTTTGTGTTCTTCTCTAGTTTGCATTATATGAACACATAACAAACGTCCGACCGGATAGGCTACAACCACCCTCAGGATGTCCATACGGCCAACAGTACTCGCGGGGCGGTGGTCCCTCCTGCAAACAGTTATGGCCAGCAGGGTTGCCCAAGTGTATACTGGTCTTCATGATACCAGCAGATGTCTTTATGATGATCACATGTTGGCACAGATCTCTCTCCGTTGCCTGGCTAGATAGAGGCGTTAATTCGCCTTTGGTCTAGCGGTTAGTGTGCTAATATCAAATGGTAATTTACTTGGTTTCAACTACGGTAAGTCTCCTATCTTTGCTGTTCTACCTAAACCCGGATGGCTTTCTTTGCGGTTGATAATGTGTCCAGTGGGCACCAATGGGGACAGTGAGGTTTAAGAAAAAATTATCTGGTTGAACATCTATAGAAATACCTGTGTGCTTTGGTGCATTCTTTCTCCCAGATCTTTCTGCTCCCCGCGGAGCAAGCGCCAGGTGGCGCAAGTCGACGTCGATCGCGCTACGAGTTCAGCTCTCAGCCGTACTTCCGTCACTACTGCAATAACAGTGCAGTAGGCTGATCCACAGCCTTGACTCAAGCGCCAATAGAATAGCATCATCTGATGTATGGGTGCCCAATCGATGATTTGTTCACCAACAAGAAGCGGCTGGTGTAATAGAGCGTTGGGTGCAAACATGTCTGAAAGTGACAGGAGAGAAATATTATTATACCCGTCATGAATGGAGGGTATTGCAAATTGAACAATCATACCTTGCGGATATAGGTTCCCCTCCAAATATCGCCAATGCCGTTTTAAGTACGGACGATGGATCCGCTCACTGCAGCAGGCCTAGCAAGCAGTATCATCTCCTTCGTCGATTTCACAACCCAGGTGATTTCCCGATGCGAGAAACTCTATCGGTCCGCTTCAGGGGCTACGACCGAAAACTTAGAGCTAGAAGATCTGGCCACGAACATTCGTCGGTTGGCTGAGGAAACTCGATGCACGAAGGAAGATGAGATACTCGAGAGCCTCAGTTCACAGTGCATCAGTGTATCTGATGAGCTAATCGCGCTCCTCAACTCGGTGAAGGTCAAGAGCGACCGGCGTGGATGGGCTAGCATCCATCAAGCGCTCAAATCGGTATGGAAGCAGAGCGATATCGATGGTCTCCAGCAGAGATTGAATCGAATTCAAGCACAGCTTCACAATCGTTTGGTCACCCACCAACAGCGAGAGATCGACTATAAGCTAGAACGACTTATCGAGGAGAATGAGCGCCTGGATGTGAATAGGACACATGAGTTGAGATTGCTGAGAAATCAGATCACATCCGCCCTACACGAGATCGTCAGTGATGTCCGGCTGGAGGGTCAGAAGACGCGAGCCTGGTCGGCGTTGTACGCTGGCTCACAGAAAGGGAAAGTGTACTCAACTGAGCAGCTCCTGTTGAACAGCCTTGTCTTCCGCTTGATCGGCTATCGACACCATGCTATTTCGAAAGAACATGCAAAGACTTTCGCCTGGGTCTTCGAACAAGACACTGAGTTGGTTAAAGCACTCCCACCCGTGAACTTCGTGGATTGGCTTCGACATGATAACGGGCTATATTGGATCTCGGGGAAGCCAGGCTCTGGAAAATCAACCCTCATGAAATTCCTGGCAGGACATGAGCAAACTCAACAACACCTGAGGACGTGGTCTGGAGGCAACGAACTTCTTCTGGCAAGTTTCTACTTCTGGAGCGCTGCCAAAAACTCCCTGCAAAAGTCGCAGACTGGCCTACTCCGGTCCATTCTCTACCAGATCCTACGCCAATGTCCAGAACTTATCCGGGTCGCTTTTCCCGACCAATGGAGCCAGTCAATTTCCAGCCTTACGGGCTTAGCCGAGACACCCTTCAGCAATGCAGAGCTGCTCGAAGCATTTGACAAGGTCACTACAGCACTGGCAACTTACAAAATCCGTTTCTGCTTCTTCATAGACGGACTAGACGAGTATGAGGGCCGACCGGCGGATATCATTCAACTGGTCGAATATCTTCAGTCATCACCCAATATCAAAGCCTGTGTTTCCAGTCGTTCGTGGAACGAATTCGAATACAGTTTTGGTAAAGACAACCCGTGGAAATTGTATATTCATCACCTCACCCAGGAGGATATCCGAATCTACGTTGAAGATAGACTTGGAAAACATGAACGCTTCCGAGAGCTTCAAGTATTTGACGATAACTGTCCCAATTTTGTGAAATCAATTGTCGACGCAGCACAGGGTGTCTTCCTCTGGGTAATTCTGGTGGTGAACTCGCTTCTAGATGGTCTCACCAACGCTGACACAATCTCCCATCTACAAGAACGACTACTCGAATTTCCCCAGAGTCTGGATGAGTACTTCCATAAAGCCCTTATGACCGTCGAGGAACGGTACCGCCCGCAAATGGCTCGAGCCCTTATTGTTACCCTGGAAGCCTACGAGACTCTTCCTCTGATCTGCTACTGGTTTCTAGACCACGAAACGCCTGACTATACACTCAATCTAGAAGTTAAACCGCTGGATATGGAGATGATAAGCACACAGATGGATGTCACGCGGACTCGACTGAACGCGTACTGCAAAGGGCTCCTCGAGGTACATTATCCGACAGACAACAAGACAATCGAATTAGAGTCGCCTGCGTCATTCTCCGGCTTTCAAGTAGATTTCCTTCACAGGACCGTGCGAGACTTCCTATGGATGCCAGGAATGCAAGCTTTGCTCCGTACATGGTTGCCACGGGATTTTAACCTCGACCTCGACATCTGCAAAGCCATTTTAGGCTCGATCAAGGTCTCGGTGCCAATACCAGCACAGAAGGCTCGCTCACGCCTTCTCGTGAGGCTCATCAAAATCTTCTTCCATCACATAGTGGGATTAGACGGCGATACAGCCTACGAATGCTCCCATTTCGCTCTCCTGGACAAGTTGGCAACGATTATCCAACTCTATATTGAGATTCGAGCGCGTCATTACAAAGCCATCGGCAAAGACGTGGATGAGGGTGTGGACCGTGACGTTGTTCTTGATCTAGGTTTAAGGCATTCTGTACTTCATCAATTGTGGAACGGGGAGGTAGCAATACTCAGCCGATCGATCCATGCAGGCCTTGCTCGCTATACTGAGCATACACTAAAGAAGCACCCAAGTATACTCCTGAATAATTTTGAGTTATTTCTAGGTAAAGCACTGTTTTCCGCAGAGGATCATGAGTCTAATAACCTTGGTGTCCCGGATACCGCGATGCTCCAGCTACTTCTACGAATTGGCGCTGACACTAATACCCCAGCAGCCAGGCCCCCCTGGGCAAGTTATTTATGGCATTTGAAGATGTTGAAAGAGAAGAATAAAGTTTTTAAGAAGGATGTCAACAATCACTACCCAGCTGTCCTGATGCTTTTAGAATATGGGGCGGATCCAGATGCACAGTGTGGGTTTGGGATGACGGCGGTCATGGTGCTGCAGGAACTATTCTCTCCGGCTCAATACTCCTGTCTGCAAAGAGTGATCGAGGATAGACAGCTGAAGAATGGTAATAGAAAATCTCCTAAGGGTGGCGCTACCAGCACACAAGCTTGGCTGCATTCACAACAGCCTTTGCTTATGTTAGCGCCTCCCTTTCTTAACGAGTGTGTGATATCTCACACCGCAAGTGAAAAAGGTGTTGGGGAGGAGCAAGCGAAACCTAAGAAGACGGGGAAACTGCAATTGATTCGATCCTTTTTTCGACGAGTGAGCCCTTTCCATTCCCGACGGAAGTAATTAGTTAACGGATGACCTACTTGTGTGAGATATACAGAAATTTGTTGAGAGCATGGAGAGGAAGAGGGAGAGTAGATTGTTAACATTGGGTCAACTTTCGCTAGTCATGCAGGAATGTACATCATAGATATAAGCATCTCTCTATGCCGCACGGTCTTGCCTCGTAGAGGAACACAACTTTACCAAGTCTTGTCAATTGGAACATTCTACTCGTATAGTGTAATTAGAGTGGTAGGCTGTCAACCTACTATGTGAAGATTTGTGAGGATAGGAAAGAGGTGGATGGCCTTCGAGCCGCGATTGTCGTACCCTCGTGAACCAACATCATGTATCCAGATCATTTCCCTCATTCGTCTCTCATCTGTGTGGTAGACGCAGGCAATGCAGACATTCACTCCTATTGACATCCTTCGGGTTCAATCCACCTGTGAAAACTGCTATTAGGCTTGGCGCGAAAAAGAAATTACTGGCTATTTAGAAGTGACATCCAACCATGCGATATGACTCTCCACCTTGGTTCCGGGAGGCATTTCAAGAAAGGTCCTTCTATAACTGATTCACTGTACTTAGATGGAGCAATATTGTTCTCTGAAACATGTCGAGAATAGCCATCCATAACACCATCCTCTGTTACTACGGAGCATGTGTATTTTGGAGTGTTACACATATAGTTTTGTTTCTGCCTAAGGCATGGATAATAGACAAGCACTCACGTGAGCGCGCGTTCAGTTTGTCTTCTTTGCATCTCCACCTCCGCGGTCCTCTCTCTTCCATCCAATCGTTCTCAACCAGACAACACAATATCCAACACAGAGAAAAATAGTGCTCGCCAGACTAATGTACTACTAAATACAGTAGCAGGGACTCAAACTACAATGTCACAATCACCACAAGATGAACCACAACCTAACCCAACTACACCTCTCCACCTCCACGCCGAACTCCTCCCCAACATCCGCCAACTAACCCTCTACATCTCCGTCCCCCCAAACACTCCCCGCTCTGACCTGCAAATCGCCCTCTCAGACTCACGACGCGCAGTCACCGTAACATCCCCCTCCACCACCAACCAAGATGATACCTCAATCTCAGAAACAATCAAACTCCCTGCGCGCGTCAGCGAATCCTCCCGACGCATCCTCCAACAACAGCCACCCTCCACACAAAGCGAAAGTGAATACTCCTTCCGCATGCAAGTAGACGATAATGACACGTCCCTGCACAAGGATGAAACAACCCTAAATGACGGGTTCATTCCCTGGACAGCGACGGACATGTCCGCGCATACACGCCTGCGGTGCGTCAAGTGCCATAACCCTATCCTCAATGAGGGGAAAGTGTGGAAAGACCTTCCAAGCGGGAATTGGGCTGAGATGATGGATTTCTGGCATTGTCATAAACCGGATCCGCCGGAGGAGGAGCGGAATAAAGATGGAGAAGATCCTAATGCGGTGGTGAAGGGGTATGGGGCTGGTAATCAGCTTGTTGCGGTCGAGGGGACGGTGTTGGTGGATGTGACGAGCTTTTTGGTGAAGGGGGTGGATTGTCTCGGTGTTGAGGAATCAAAGGTAAGGAATTTTGTGTTTATACTTTTCTGGGTTACGTTGTTTGGGGTATGTTTTGTAATAGAGAGGGATATGGGCAACAAGAAGGAGACCTTTTCAGTCAATGATGAGGCCTTCGATACAATTGCCCTATAACTACAGAGTCTTGGTCGATCTGTATGGCCCGGCATGAACGAGTGCAGTGGCTGGTGCTGGGGTGCTGTGGAATAGATATCCTCTCTCGCAGATGGATTTCATCCCGTGGTCGTCTCAGCATGGGTCAGTGTAGCTTGGGTGCTCTGGTGCTGTGATCAGGACTGCGCCTCGCTGTTTCTCCGTTGTCTTGGTCCAGAGTGATGGAGTCGACGCGATTATGCAGAGGTACATCTATCGTCTATACCAGTTAGCGTAGGCTCAAGATAATGCATGTAGATAATCAAGCGTGTTATACCTCATACCACATACCTACATCTTCCACAGGCTAATGCCCTCCTCATAGGTCCCTCCCAGAGACTCAAAACCAACACAATCAGACACAGAACCGGAACCAACAATCCTAACCTGCACAACCTGCACCACCCAACTCGGCCTCCCCGACCCCATCGCCAACGGCTACCGACTCTTCAAAACCAGCCTATCGGCCAACCACTCCCCGAACCCTCCATCTTCATCCTCATCCCCATCCCCCGAAGAGACATCTACATGGGAATCCCACCCCCCAGAAACCATCCTCACCGCACAACTCCTCGAACTCATCGAACGCGAAAGCTACCGCCGATTCGTCATCCACTGCGGAGCTAAAGAAGGACTTCTCGTAAGCCCCGACCCCATACCTCATACCCCATCTTCCTTCAGATTCACAAATGCTAATATAAGAGGTATAGATATGGCCCTTCAACCCCTCCCTCCGATACTCCACGACCAGCGCATCGCACAGCACAGCGGCACAACTCGCCATGAAGGTATTCTACCAACACATTGATAATGTTGAGGAGGTGTTGCATCCCGAGGCGGGCAAGGGAAGTCAGTCGCTGGCTATTGAGGAGGTGAGACTTCCCGGCGAGGATGCGTATAGGGAGTTGGTGGAAGTGTTGGAGGAGAGAAATGGCATGTTGCCCGCTTCGGCGAGGGTGTTTCGGGATTGGAGGGTGGGGTTGTTGTGGAGGTTTGAGAGGAAGTAGTACTAGTAGTAGTTCTTTCGATGGAGGGGGGTGTTTGTTCCTTCCTGTTTGGGTTGGTGGTAGTGAATGAAGGGACCACTTAGCAGATTCTACGGGAGTAATAAGAGTTGAGAGAAATACTGAACTCACTTCAGAGTGGTGATAGTGTATTAAGATCTCTACGTTCAGGTAAGATACGCTACTCTACTCTGTTCTATCTAGGTCGTCTGGGTCGTACGTTATACTGACCGAATACTGCGTTCATAGACACACACTCAACTTAACCCCATTCAAATCTACCACTATTAATCCACACTCTCACACTTCTACAACCTCACTGTCTACACAGAGACACAATACCCAATCACAAACAATGCCTACAATAACACCCCAACCTCATATTCAATCTCAATCTCAATCACAATCACAATCACATCCTCGTTCCCCCTTCACCACCTCCGACGAAAACAACTCCGTCACGTGGGAACATCTCGAACATGCGCCTCCGTCCCTTTCATCTCTGTCAGCGGATACTACTGCTCGCAATAATGATGGCCGGTCTACTGCGGAGAATTATTCTGGAAGGGTTCCTGGGCTTGAAATGCGTGCACGGTCTGAGGCGGTGCATGTTGAGGATGTGATGGGTATGGGTGATGGGACTGGGGCTACGACGGGGATGGGGATGGGGCCTGGGCCTGGTAGGGCGCCGGCTATTAGGATTTATCCGCCTGGGGATACGGTATCTACGTCTGCGTCTGTATCTATGGTGGGTGGTGATGGGGGCGAGCAAAGAGGAGGAGGGTCTACAAAGTCTGCTTCTTTCTTTGGGAGATATGAGGGGTTGGGGAGGTGAATTGGGTGATGGTCCGTGATGAGATTCGTCCTTCTGGGTGGTGAGAGCAGTGAAAGGGGGTTCAAGCGCCTTGTGCTTGTGGTGTTGCCTAGCGCTGCTATCAATATTACTAGTGGAGATGTCCTGACGGCTGCACACCGCTTGATAATCTGCTTAATTCATGCTCTGTACTGTAATTCATATCTAGGCCAGTCCCGCTGCCATCGTGCACTTCATTAGTAGACAACGTGGAGACAGTGCGGCTAACCCTCAAACGGCGTCTCATATGGCGCTTCCGCCTGCGGAGTGATTCTCGCATGGTGTCGTCTCTGGCCGTCTTCCCAGTCAAAGAGGGCAGAGTGGGTAACAACGCGGTTCTACACTCGTTAGACTTTATTTGACGAGTGGGTGGGGAGGGTAAACTTACGTCCCAAACGACCACAGTTCCAGGACGCCATCTCACCCGAGTTTGGAGATCCTGGGAGAAGGCAATGTGGTCGTAGAGGAACTTGAGGAGGTAGTCGGACTCTTCCTTCTTGTAGCCGACGATGTAGCGGGTGACTGTTCTTGTTAGTATCTATCCTAGGGTAAAATGATGGCATGACAGTGACACTTACATTGAGGGTTCACGAAGAGAGCTTTTTCTCCGGTTACCTGAATGATACTATTAGAATAAATATTTGGAATAGTTCCGGGGTTATGCATACCGGGTGAGTCCTGACAATCGGGTGCTCAGAAGTAATCGGATCCCGTCGAGCAATGCCCCCCTTGTTCAGACTGTTGTTGACCTGCTCAATGCCGGAGTGAACTGCCTTCAGCCCGTGAAGTCTCTTACGGAACTCAGGCGAGAGACGTCTGTATGCCTGTGCCATGTCGGCGAAGAGGGTGTCTCCACCGCTTGATGGTCCGTCCAGGATGTACAGGAAGGTCGTGCCAGGGGGCTGCTTCTCGAAGGTCACGTCCGAGTGCCAGGTGATGGTGTTGGTGCGTTGGGACAGGAATTCAGCGCCGCTTCTGTCGTCGGCACCTCTGTGCACGAGGTGGATCTCCGGGAAGCCCTTCGGTGCTCCAGAGGTCTGGTGGATGTGGTGTCTGCCAAAGTAGCCGCCGAATTCTAGGGCTTTCTCGATGGGCAGGTGTGCGAAGTCTTGGTCGCGGAATGCTGTATGGTTTGTTAATGGGAAGTCATCTCGTCTTGGAGAAGGGGATCATACCAACAACCTTCCGCTGAGCTACGTACAAAGCCAGCTGGTCTTTTCCTTCCTTGGTCAGTTGGCTCAGCTGGACACCGCGAACCTCAGTGCCAATGGTCGGTGTAATATCGTCGATTTCAGCTTTGTCCTTGGGGAGGAGGTCGGGGAAGGTCGGGTCAGCATCCTTTCCGTGGTCGTAGTGCTCGAAGGGCTGGAGGGGAGGGTATCTATAGTTGTCAGTGTGGTGTGAGTAGAATTATGGATGGTGTAGGCTACCTTTCTGTTTCGTTGTCCCAGACAGGAAGATAATTGGGGAAAGAAGCAGGTGGTTGCTTCTCAGTTCCCTTCAGCTCGTTCTCGTGCTTGTAGGCCTCTCCATAGCCAATCACATTCTCCTTATTGAAACCAGCATCGGTCTTAAGCGTAGTCTTAGGTGCCGCCCGAAGCGACAGAGGAGTTTCTTCAACCAGAGATGGGGCCATGTTGGATGTCTGCAGGTGCAACTATGACAGCTGTGCTGTTCTTGTGGTGATATCCAGAACGCATCCTGCACAGAGAACATCATCCATATATATTCTGCTTCCCATTCCGAATATCCGTCTTTTGTCACGCAATCCCTGCGGGGTATGGATTGACGCCATTTTCCGGCTGTCAGGTATCACGGAGATACTACAATCGGATATGCTGGGAACTCAGACAAGGAGTTACGCGAGCCACGGGAAGGTCGTGTAAGCCAGCATGACTCGCCGATCCGATATGTCAATGGTGCAATGATAATGCAAGAAAGTTAATACGTCAGTGCTGTGGTTATCAATCATCGATTCACTCGAACCGAGCCAAGCTGCAGCCAACTAGATTTATGAATGGCTGGAAAGATGCCCTTGACTATTTTTGGATATTCCTAGGATATAATCATTAAGTCCATTCAAGTCCAGCATGAATTTTGGTATACTTCGCGTCAGGGCGTGCTGCATTTAATGCAGTCTATGTAGTGCATGGGAAGAAGAGAAGAGGAGGTGGTTGCTGCTAGCAAAGCGGGCCAAGCATGGCGTGATAGTGCTGTTGCTTCGCGCAACTCGCCCTAATCAAGCTTGCCGGCAAGGCGACGTGCAATCCAGACTCATACCCCGCCTAAGACTTTGTCTCCAAGATTTTATTGTATTTTGGTCTGGGTCAGACTTATCTGGAAAATATTCTTTACTGAGTTGGCTGCGCATATTGTGAGGTGTTACTGGTACTGTTGTCTTGTCGCGATGAATCGCATCAAAGTCCGCATCTACCACATTTTGAATGCTCACCATGAACCTTTGGAGACCATAAAAAAAAATGGATCAAAACACCATTCGTATCAGATTCCCCCACCATAAGCGGCTTATCCTTCCCAATCAGCAATAAAGACAATGTTGCGATGTCAAGCCCGTAGCATATCATCATAAGCCAATGCGATGGTGACATCGCAGTTCTGGCGAACTTGATACAATTTCTCAACTATTATTGGATCCTCTGCCATCAGCTGCGGAGATCTGGAGCAGCCGCTAATCTCAGTCCCGGCACTTGTCCGCTTAACCTTACTTGTTCCTCATAACGTCAGTTATGCTCCCCTTGCGTGATTTCATCCCCTGCCGGGACTTTTGCGCAAGATCGGTCAAGTCTCCAGCACTAACAAGCACCTCGGAAAGTAAAGCCATATCAGATTCTGCGGCCCTTGAATCATGGCATATCAGCCTTTAGGTAGTTCTCGGCCGTAGTTGACGTTGGCCCCATCCGCCAACCATTTCATGTCGCACATCGATGCGCTCAACGTTCTAGGTTGTTTGAACCTTACCCACTCATGCGACAATTGGCTACGTATAGCTACCCACAGCTCTCGTGCTAACAACTAGTACATCGTGCTGACACTTTCACGAAAAATTGCGTGATGATGTTCGACGCCTGTTTATCGCTGATGGACACGTCAAAAAGGCCCGATGTCCCCTGAGTTGCTGTTTATTTCTTGAGCTCAACCACCCGAAGCTGGTCTTTCACTGTTACTCTGCCTCTCAACACCTTGCTACACAGGCAAGATGACCACAGACGGCGTCAAGGAAGTCCCCGCGGACACGGCCTCCGCAAACGAGGACACCAAGAAGAACCCTGATGTCTCGACATCATCGGCATCATCAACCTCACTTACGGACTCGGAACACAGAGTCGCAAAAGTGACTGACTGCGCCTTTGATACGACGGAAGACCCTAGGTTTTACAAGCCGATCCCCGAGTATGAGAGCGCGCATCGCTGGGATCCATACTTCGAATGGACGGAAGAGGAAGAAAAGGCACTAATCAAGAAGGTAACTGCCATTTATACAAGCCTATCTGCTGGATCATAGCTGATTGCAACAGATTGACATCCGAGTTTGTACTTTCGCATGCGTTACGTTTTTCGCACTTCAGCTTGACAGAGGCAACATTGTGCAAGCAAACTCAGACAGCATGCTGGGGGACCTCGGAATGACCACAAATGATTACAACACCGGACAAACGATTTTCTACCTCACTTTCCTCTTTTCCGAGCTTCCTTCGCAGTTGTTGTCTAAGAAGGTCGGCCCGGATCGCTGGATTCCCATTCAAATGGTCGCCTGGAGTTTCGTCGCCGCATTCCAGGCATTTCTCAAGAACAGGGCTGGATATTTCGCCTGCAGAGCGCTTCTCGGCCTCCTGGAGGGAGGATTGTAAGTCTTCCTACACCTTACTACCTGGGAATACTCTTCCTAACAATTTTTAGCATTGCCGACACTATCCTCTTCCTGTCCTTCTTCTACAAGTCCAAAGAGCTGCCGCAACGGTTGAGTTACTTCTGGGTTTCTTACGAAGCAACATCTATCGTCGGCGCTTTTCTGGCATTCGGCTTCCTCCACATCCATGGTTCCGACGGTTATACTGGAGGATGGCGCTATCTGTTCGCTTTTGAGGGTCTTATTACAGGAATCATTGGAATCATCGCCGCCTTCTGGATGCCTGCATCTCCCACCCAGACTAAAGGCGGTTTCCGCGGTAAAGACGGTTGGTTCAACGAGCGCGAGGAGAAGATCCTTGTCAACCGTGTCCTCCGTGACGATCCCAGCAAGGGAAGCATGCACAACCGTCAGGCGGTCACACCGAAGATGCTTTGGCATGCTCTGTGCGACTACGACATGTGGCCCATCTACCTGCTTGGTCTGACGTGGATGATTCCCAACACACCTGCTACCAACTACATTACCCTGGAGTTGAAGTCGCTTGGGTTCGGCACCTTTGAAACGAACCTCCTGACCATCCCCGCATATGTCATCTTCATTATCAACCTACTGTTCTGGACTTGGATTTCAGAACGCTTCAACCAGCGTCTACTTCTCGGTGTCGTCTCTGAATTTTGGTGTTTGGTCTTGCTCATCACGCTCGAAGTCCTGCCAGATGGAGCCAGTGGATGGGCGCGGTGGATCATCAATGCTCTCTTGATTGGAGCCCCTTACGTACACGCAATCATCGTGGCCATGACATCCAGAAACGCGGGATCGGTCCGCACACGCACTGTTGCGAGCGCGGTATACAATATGATGGTCCAAGCCTCGAGTATCATTGCCAGTCAGGTCAGTGAGAAACCACCCCGCATTATGACTCGCTACTAACCCCTTGCAGATTTATCAAGACAAAGACAAGCCTTACTACCGTGTGGGTAATAAAGTTCTGATTGCCTTGTCCGTGTTCAGCATGGCTTTATTCATTGGAGCCAAGTTTTATTACATCTGGCGCAACAAGTATGGCTCACCAAATCTCCGATAGTAACGACTACAATGCTAACTATGCTACCAGGTACAACGCTACTCGTTGGAATGCCATGTCCAGCGAAGAGAGGGAGGAATATCTGGCAGCTAACAAGGATCTTGGAAACAAGCGGTGAGTCTTCCTTCGGCAAAATTGCTTGATAATCTGTCTAATTCATCGCCTTGCAGACTCGATTTCCGATTTACTCACTAGATGAGCACGACTAATGATTGATTATATTATACAACTAAAACATAGATAACCAACTGCATATATGGAAAGCTGGTGGACGCCCCGCGGGATACCCTGAAGTCTATAGATTAGACGATAGAGCAAATTCATAATACAACATATCGCTCAAGTGATCATAAACCGTAAGGGACAAGCCGTAACTCATGTCCACACATGCCTATTCTCCAATGACATACTCGCATCCACTGTCTCCAATCCACACCTCATGCAACTTGCCCGCTGGAACATCCAGTCGTGCACCAACACCGAACGTCTCCTTTTTCACCTCCCCGTTATGCAGCCTAGCATTATCATCCGGGTAGGTGATTGTCAAACTCCCTTGGCGTATTAGATGCGTTGTGACACCGCCATGTGAGTGTGGTGGATAATGAGCATTGCTAGGACAGTATTAGTTCCACTAGTACTTGAATTATCATAAATCCTATGCACAGAATAATGATATAGACTAAGACCCTAAGAAATACGCAGCACAACAACCATGGTTTCCATCAACTCACCTTCCGTCCGCCCAAGTAAAGACGTGCTTGAAGCCCCAATCCTTGACTAGACGTTCGCATTCTTTGCGTGTACCAATGGAGTATGTTTCCGCCATTACTCTTCTTCAACTGACTTAACCCGGTGATAGGAGGATAACTGTCAAGGCAGATAGATCTTCTGGAAGCTGTTTAGAAGTGTTGGTGATGCGGGGAATACAGCGATGACGTCGATGGGATTAGTAATTCATGGCAGATGAATTGCTTGTTGACGGTCACGTGGAGGAAGTGTATTGTTTGATTCTATTTGTCGATGGTGATTCCGTGGCTGGACATATTATTGAGTGGATCTATGACTCCCACTATGCGTTCTAGAGGCATTGAACTACATTATAATGGCCAACTGCGCCATTGAAAGTGTCAATGCTCAGGTATTCTCTTTACTCAAACACAATGAAGATTCTAATTTTTGCTGAAAGAAAAGAAGACCCAATTTCTGTGTTACACTATACGAGAGTCCCTCGTTAATTTATAGTGGCAAGGCGCCCGAGAAGCGACTGACAACAAGATACACCGTCAATTTGAAAGCAACGACTGGGCTCCAATAGGTCTTTAAAGCCTTTCAAATAACAAATCTAACCTCACCGAGCCCTAGCTTCTTACACAAATGCCTTACTAAGGCTGAAACAGTCGGAGAAATGTCTATACCCGGACGAAATACTACTGCAAGCGACACGGGATGGTATGGCGCGGTTCTCCCCCGAGGGCGTTAGATTAACGCTAGTCCACTTAGCCCACGCCAACGCCTTAGCTCCAGGACGCCAGGTGGGTCAAGCTTGATAGTGGAACACCCAGGATTTGATGAAGCTCCTCTTATCGCAGCCAGCCCAAGGCGAATTGGAGCCAGCTGTATCTGGCTACCGAAGCTTCTCACCCGCATCGATGGCTTCTAGGCCGTCATCCCCCCTGTCGATGACTGGAGTGAAGGGCAGAGTTTCCCTTCTGGGAACTCGTCAGGAAATGGTGGGTTGGCTAATCCGGATGCATGATGCAGGGCCTTGAGGGACTGGATTGAAATATAGCTACTCGTCCCTCGTCTTGAAATCTGTGCCAATTCTTTGCAAGATCCGAACACCAAAGGAAAGACAGAGGAACTCGAAGAAATGCCGGACAATGTTGAACTCACTACCACCAAGGGTGGAAATAATATTTCCACTGTATTCGCTGATGAAGGGCTTGCCAAAGGTCATGTCGCTCAAAAGTATATCGGCACTATGGCCGACCAAAGGGATATGCAAGCTTTGGGAAAGGAACAAGTTCTCAGGGTTCGCTATCTGTATATTCAGTAAATGGATTTTTCTAATGGTGCCCTCAGAGAAATTTCCGGTTCATTTCAATCGTTGCCTTTGGATGTACTCTGATTGCTTCATGGGAGGTCATGTTGACGTAAGTCAATTTATTTCCGGGGTTTGTGTACATGATGTTAATACTGGGACAGCATGATGAGCTCACCTCTGGTTGATGGTGGCACTGCTGGCTTCATCTGGGGATTTGTCGTGGTTTCGGTTGGTGTGTTGCTTCTGTTCGCCAGTCTGGCGGAGATGGCTTCCATGTGAGTGCACCCACTTTATCCTAAGATTATACACCAGCTGATCATTTCATAGGGCACCCACTGCTGGTGGCCAATATCACTGGGTATCAGAATTCGCACCGAGGAAGTACCAGAAGTTCTTGAGTTATATCACTGGTATGTATAGCTACCCGCTGAGGATGGCTGAGCCTAACAAGCCCGGTCGCATCTAGGATGGCTCTGTGCCACCGGCTGGGAATGCGCAATTGTGTCAATTGCTTTCCTGGCAGGTACCATCATTCAAGGACTAGTTATCCTCAATTACCCAGATTATGTTTCTGAGCGGTGGCACGGTACTCTCATTACAATCGCCATCACCCTTTTCTCCGTTCTCTTCAACACCTTTCTCGCCAAGAAGCTCCCTCTCGTTGAAGCCTTCATCTTGATCCTCCACGTTGCCGGGTTCTTCATTGTGATTATACCCCTGTGGGTTTTGGCACCCATCAAGGACGCAAAGTCAGTTTTCACCCAGTTTACAAACGGTGGTGATTGGAATAGCAATGGTACTGCAACTATGGTTGGTCTAATCACTGCTATTACTGCCATGATTGGCTACGACTGTACTGTCCATATGTGTGAGTAAAGGCTCTGGCTCGATCATTTAGACATGCTAATACAGTACACAGCCGAGGAAGTCCGTGACGCTTCCACAACACTTCCCAAAGCTATAATGGCGGCGTGCTCCTTGAACGGGGTCTTGGCCTTTGTCGTTATGGTCACTCTGTGTTTCACCTTGGGTGATGTGAATGAGGTTCTCGACTCCGCTACTGGGTATCCTTTCATTCAGGTCTTTTTCAACGCCACCAAGAGCTACGCAGCTACAAACGCAATGACTGCAATTGTGACCATGTCGCTTATTGCCAGTGTTATTACTGAGGTCGCTACTGCGTCGCGTCAACTTTGGTCATTCGCCCGTGATGGGGGCGTCCCACTGGCTCGCTTTTTCGGTCATGTAAGGGTTCCCACTTCTTGCTTGGTTTCAGCTTTAATTTACCAGTACTGATGGGCAACAGGTCAATCCAAATTGGAACATCCCTCTCAACGCTGTTCTGGTGTCCCTCGTGCTTACGATGCTGCTATCACTAATCAACATCGGCTCGACTGTCGCCCTGGATGCCTTGATCACCCTCACTGTCGGAGCATTGTTGAATTCCTACATCGTCACTGTTTCCTGTGTCGCATGGAAAAGAATTCGTGGGGAACCATTACCCCCACATCGGTGGTCACTAGGCCGATGGGGACTTTGGGTAAACCTCGGGGCCCTGGCTTTCCTCATCCCGGAGTTCGTTTTCGTTATGTTCCCCCTTTACTCGACTGTGGATCCCGAGAACATGAACTGGAGCTCACTCATGTATGGTGGCATGTTGATTTTTTCCATCATCTACTATGCGTTGTACGGGCGGAAAACTTATGTGCCGCCCGTGGCCCTGGTCAAGCGCGAAATCTGATTTGGACGTTCGTTGGCTGGAGTCGTTATTGCTGCTGCATGGACACGCCACCTCTTTCCGTTTTGGTGATTCTGGCGCAGTAACAGGTCGACGTTGGTGGTCTCCACCGCACCGGCCTATCGCCTGCATCGGTGTCGCAAGTGCCTGCGCATTCTTCGCCGGCGTAATGGAGCCCGAACTATGTTTATTGGCGATTAGTATGGAGAATGGCCAGGATGCTATTCCTTCCTGACTTCTGCCCACAGTGGGGTTGAATTCGAAAAGTTTTCTTTCTACCGTATGGTTTGATTCAACCGCTGGTAATACTACGAAACTCAAATGCCAGGTTATGATTACTTCTGGATCCAAATTTATATTTCATATATCTCGGCGATGGGCCGGCCGGATCTTGTTCGCCAGATGATCCCGCCGCGGCCCACCGGAACAAGACCGGGAGCTTACCAGCACTTCTCTCACGAACCCTAACTGATCCGGGCAAGTCCCCCGACGATCAACGGGAACGCCGCTGCGGACACATTCCCCGGAGCGTTCCTTGTGGACCCGGAAGGATGCCCGCTCCTGTTTGGTATAACACCAATGAGCACTACGTTTATGAAGCCAGGCTGCAACCTTATTAGTGATCTTGAGCTGTTATATCCGCGAGGCCAGCACCTTTCATTTGTACTGGTGACAATAAAATCATGTTCAGCTTCTTCGAAAGAAAACGCGGTATAAACACTAGCACGAATAGTGGTAGCCTAGTCAAGCTAAGGGGTAGCTAGTTCTGCCATGGTTCGAGACGGATGCGACATGATTGCGTGTTACAATCATACTAAACTCTAGGGTAGTATGATCCCTGCAAGTGCATCCTTCTCCGTTATTAACTTTTATTCGTACAGGGTCGGGTTTAGCTACTCGCAACGCTACAGGGGCTTTGGATTCCGAATATCAGCCGTAATGAACAAGCACCGTTCATTTCTCTCAACTGGCATTTTATAAAGCTGGATCAGAAATCCTTCCATGCGCTCAAGCTGAGCCTTTTGTACTATTAATCTGGCCAATGATAGGTCCCGACTACTCGCACACTGGAGTCAGATCCCTATCAGACCAGGCCACCATAGTCTCGACCCCGAAGAGATGGCGCTATGCCGTTCGCTTCGGAACATACCTAAAGCCTGCATACAGGCCAGTTTATCTATCGGCCTTTATATTTGGGAGACCTTGCATTAGCATCCTAACCTGATCTCTTGCTTTTCCAAAGGGCACCGGACGATAAGCGACTCACGGTCGCTTGCTGAGCGTCTGGGTGGCTCCCTGTCATGACGGCATCTGGGAAGCCCCTTGTGGTCATTGACGAGAGTCACCATGCCGGCATTGTCATTGTTGTTGGGACTTTGGCCCTGATAATGACATTGATCTGCTTGGCTATCCGGGTGTATGTCAGAACAATACTGAGCCCGGGGTTTGGACGAGATGACTATCTATTATTTGTTGCAACGGTAAGTTTCAACGTTGTCTCCTATGATTAATCTAAAAAATGGATACTAACCACTGCATTATGGATAGGCTTTCGCCATCATTCAAACCTCACTCGTCATGTCAAACTCTGCCAAGGGATTCGGGACATCTATAGGGCTTCTTTCCTCAGATCAGGTCGTGAACGTTCAGCGGGTACGTTGTTCAGAATATGGACTGGGGCACATGTTAATCAAAATTCATGTCAATCCAGACAACAGCTGCCACAGATACTTTGATTTTAATCACCGTCTTTCTGTCCAAATGCTGTGTGCTTGGCATGCTCTCGAGGTTGACTCCCCAACGCATTCACCACTTCATTCTCTACGGGATACTGGGGTTGAGTATCTGTTGGGTTCTCTCCTCAATCCTGATCATCCTTGTGAACTGCGAATTGAACAAACCATGGGCAAGACCCATAGACCACTGTACTGGATTGGTATGAATCCTCTCGCTCCATATCCCTGCAGTCACACTAACCACCCCTCACCAGTTCCGAAAATGGGAATACATCGGTGCAACAGACAGCATCATTGAACTCATGCTCTTCCTATTCTCGATCCTTCTCGTCAAAAGCCTGCAAATGCCAACATCCCGAAAAGTCATCGTCCTCTCTTCTTTCGCCGTTCGTTTACCGTAAGCATTCCCCATCACCCACAAACACCACACACCTAACCTACTACCTTCATTAGTCTCATTGTATTCACCTCCCTACATCTATACCATCTCAAAAACTATGCCTACTCCACAAACCCAACCCTAGACATCATCGACAGCTACGTCTGGACCCAAATGGGCATGAACTACGCTCTCATCGTATGCACCTCCTTCTGCCTCGCCCCCTTCATGCGCGCCATCAGCGTCACCTACGGCAACGCAGGCGAAGTCACCCTCGGCACTAGCAGCGCTAGATCCAAATCAGGCAAATACGCTCGGGATATATCGAAACAATCGCGGAGCTACGTGTTGGAGTCGATGGATAATCAGGAAGAGGCCGGTCACGGCATGAACAACTCACGACTTTCACAACCTACGTTTGTGCCGGAGCAATCCGCCGGCATTTTCAACGCTACTGCGTACGATGGAAGTAGTCGAACGGATGGGGATAGTGTGGCTAGTTCGGAGAGTACGAGGATGATTATTAAGAAAGATGTTGAGGTCTCTGTTACTCATGAGCCGAGGTAATTGATAAAAGTTCTTTTCATTTGTTAGAATGGTGGTCGTAAGTCGTAGACATACATTCGATTCTGGTCTGCTTTTCCTACGTCTTGCCTGAATGCTGCTCCGTCAAATACTATCCGAAGAAAAGCAATCGTAGGTAACAGTGAGTATCCATCGAACACTATTGCTGTGACGATGAAGTTCAGTTTCTATGTCTTGTATGTTCTTGTTAGAGTATGCATCTGCACCTGTTGAGATTCCAATATAGGTGTAGCCTGGAGGACGAGGGCCGGAGGCAATAAATTGGTGGCCTGAGTCGCAGGTCTGGGTCTATCCGAAGTAGGTAGAGTGCATAGCTACGTGTTCCTTCTTGAGAAAGTATGGTAAGACGAAATCCGAGATCTGAGAGATGGAGTGGTATATTTTGGTAGGTAGATATTACTTCACATGAGAATGGAAATAGTGTTGTTATAATACATCGGTAGTTTTTTCAGTAACAGCGTTCGCTCATCGAAGATGCCAATACATAGTATGTTAGTTATATGCCATATGCCTGTTTTGGGTGTGCCAGACTGTGTCTGGCAGCGGTGGAGGAGTTGAGATCTGGTTTCACTGGGAGAGAGACGCGACGCTGATGCTCCACCTGTTTTGCCAGATGAGCTGCCGCTCTACTCCTTTGAAGCATACATCATGCTTGAAGTGAGTCCCGGTTTTGATCTCCGTGAGCAGTGTATACCCCGAGTCGCAACATCTTATACTCGAACATCTCATCTGATCTGTGAGACTAGGTATAGATCAAGCCTCCGGAAGTCCCTTGCTAGGGTCCTGCTTCTGACCCTTCCAGCCGATATAGGGCCATCCCTTGGGAAGAGAAGAGTATGGTGGGAGAACATAGCGGCCAGCGCAGTCTCCCTCCGTCGGACAATCCAAATTGCATAGTCCGAATACCTTGCAGTAGCATTCTTCTGCCGTGGGACAGTAGACGGGGCCCTTGCCGAAGATCACTGTACGAGTTAGTCAATTCCCGTTATCGTTGGAATGAGTTTGGGACATACTGTGCCATGAGTATTCCATGATCCGTCCACTGAGATCATCGGGTAACGTCGTCTCAGCCAACCATTTCCGGTACCGCACATAGTCACTCTTGGGCCGCTCGCGGATCTTCCAGCGTGTGACGGCGAATTGCGCGCAGCATGAAACCCCCACTTCTTCAGGGACCTCCGCCCCGGGAAACAGTTCCATGAATCCTGTCTTAAAATACTCTCCTGCATGGACGTCGTTGCGATGCGTATCACTGAGGGGATGAATCTCCGCCGGACAGCCCAGAACCCAGGCGCAGCGCAGATTCACATAGCCTTGTTTTTGGAGATATGGGACCTGGAAATTGCGAAGAACGGGCACACCATCGTAGTAGGGGTCGTCGTTGTGCCATTGGTATCGTTGTGAATGGATGAATAGGATCGAGTCGGGAAGGTTGTCGTAATTATCAATTATATATCTGCAGCAGTGAGTTGGTGCGCCCAGAACCGGCCAAGACACGGAGACTCACGTCAGATACACCATCGATTCCCTCCCCTTATTCAAAGCCACCGTCAACGGCGCTTTCTTGTCGTCCGCCACGTAGATGCTTTTATGCCACTCAGGAAAGTATGTGTACAGCCATGAGACATCGTCTCCCTTCATACTAGCCACCACCATGTCCTTGTCCAAGACCTGGGGCTGTCGCGAAGCCGAGGCGGACGGGGAAGCCTTCCCCGACCGCGAGTCGCGATGCGGGCCTCCCTTCACCGCATCCTCAGCAGACGTCTCTGACCGTTTGGGATCGGAGCTTCCGGCGAAGAAGAGAAAGTATAGAGCGTAGATGATGAGAATGGTGCAGAAGATTGCTTTTTCTTGGTTGCGCCGGCGCGGACTGTTAACTCCGCCGCGGAAGAATAGCATGACTGGCAATGGCGGCGGCGGGACTGGCACGAGGCGGGGGGACTGTAATCATATGCTGCTGGATGTATGTATGTCACGGAAGTCAATTGAGCGTCAAATCAGCGTGACGGGGCAGGGAACATGGCTGCACGGATGGACGATCGCAGACGGTCGGGGGTCGGTGAGGTCGATGCGGGCGGCGGTTTGAGTGAGTTGACCGACTCGGGGAGATTTTGCGGCGGCGCAGGATGAAGCTGAAACGTCGGCCGTCGGATGGAATAATATAGGAGAACCACGGAGGCCCCGGAGGCGATGGTTGTTGAAACCCGGGGATGCGACAGCTGGCAGGATGGGAGTTGTGGTGGACGAAAGTAAGGAGAAGAAAGATGATTGATGGCCGCAACTGGAAGTGGAGGAACAGCGCCTCCACACGTGCTTTATCTGCTACGTAATGGGATCTCACTCTGTTTCTTCTTTCACCACACCACCACTTGCTTGCTCTGATTATATACTAACTACTATGTACACTTCTCTCACCACTAATCTGACAGTCGGTCTAGCTATAGCAGGCACTCTGAAATCGCGAAAAAGTACCACAAATGAGCCAAAACGCTCACTGTTGCTTCGCCTGCATTTCCCGCCGTCGAATTGATTCCCTCGATGACTTCAATATCTGACGCCGTGACACTGGCTCCAGTGCCACTGGTGATCCAGTATTCCGGACTTGGCTGGCTGAATCCAAAGTCCATGGGTGGCAACCGGGGGACGATGTCATTCAAGTGTGTAACACGGAAGTTCGCTCCAGATCCTTGACTGGTGATGTACTCGGCCAGCGCATAGTTTCCGATTCGAGGACATCCATAGGTGTACTATTGACTGTCAGACCGATTGTCGCTCCATCACCTTTGTGAAGAACTCACCAGCTCAACGCTATACCCGTCATTTCGCAAAACTGTCGCTCCCAGCGTGGCCAATGCGCCGCCCAAACTGTGTCCGGTGAAGTATAGGGTATAGCCCGAATACGTGCTCATCGCGGACTTGATCTTGCTCGTCAGATCGTCGGCAGCGGATTCCCATGCCTTCCAGAAACCAGTATGGACCTTGCAGCCGGTGCAGAGGTCGTCGTTATCTTCCAGGATGAAGTCAAGATTAGCGACCCAATTCTCAATCGTGCTGCTTCCCCGGAAGGCGACCACGAGCCGCTTGTTGGTGTTGTCCGCGGCTAGGAAACCGGCTGTGCCTCCAAAGTCGTTCGTCCTGTTCAATTAGCTGTGCTCTATGTCTGCGATCTGAGTGACATACAGGTCGAACTCCAGCAGCATCTTGGTACTGGCCTCCTCGACTGATGGACAGGCGTTGGCCGTGCATGTCAAGTTGGAGTCATCCGAGTCGATATTATTCGAGCAATAAGCTGCGGCAGACCATTGTGCGAACAATTGCAACTCATCCAACGTGGAAGTTGAGACACCTATTCACCCTTCATCAGTGCTATCCAGCCACTTCAACTCGGGCACACCTACTCCGCACATCAAGCGGTGCCGGCGCGGCAACACCCAGCGCAGCGAGCGCCGTCAAAAGCACTCCAAACCGTCCAGAGAACATCTTGCAGTATACAAACAATCGAGGCGACCAAAACCTTGCGACTAACGGGCTGCTGCAATACACACACTGCCTCTATCCAACCGCTCCTCCGACCCCCCTTTTATACCCATATCATATTACCCACCGCGATTCCCCATCAGGGGCCTCAGGGGGGAAAAAGCAAGGAGCGGGGTAAGTCAGACAACAACATTCACCCAAACAGCACTGTCACGATAGTAGATGAAGCCAGCCATGCAATCAGGCACCGTATCTCCTCGTCCGCATCCTTTGTTCCGGGTCGGCGGTTGTCCGTTGCGCAACTGGAGTGCCAGTTTGGCCCCATCTCCATCCGGAGCGGAAGCCCGGTGGGGATTAATGGACTGCTATAGCAGCCCGTAGACAAGCATAGTCTGCTCCGAAAAGTTAAATAAAGTAGATGTTGTCTGAGGATGGGCAGTGTCGAAGGATCTACTGGCGGAGAAACGTGGAGGGCGTGGTACTGCACATGAGCAGTAGATTGAGCATTGGGATTGGGGATTGGGGATAGGGCCATGACATGTGCACAGGCCGAGGTAAGTAGGTCAAATCGAAGGGCAAGCAAGCAAGTCAACGGGAAACAGTATTACGAAATCTGAGACTTCTTCACATGCTGTTACTGTTGCAGTTGCTGTCAGTGTCGTGGTTCGTGACATGCAAGTAACTAGTGGAGTTAGTGACTTCTTGTCACTTTGCCGATCACTTTGCAGCGCTTATACTCATTCAGACTACGATACATACATACTATAGATGGGGAAGAAGAAGCACACAAACATATCTACGTATGTACCAAAAATAAAACATGTACGTACACGTGCCCATAATCAATACCATACTATCGAAGAAGAAGTAAGTAATCCTGACAAAAAGAAAAAAAAAAAAAAAAAAAAAAAAAAAAAACAAAAAAAAAAAAAAAAAAAAAAAAAAAAAAAAAGAAAAATACCTCAACTCACTATTGAAACAATACTCTCATCCCTTATTCCCGCCCCCAATACTACCTTACCTTCCCCAAGAACTCTCACAGTTTTAGGATAGTAATACAACAATAACCACAATAACTTAGTTATAGTAAATACATCTCCTATTACCTAACCACCTCTACTGCGTAGTAACTACTCAACTATTAAGTCAATCCATTACCTACCCGAAAGTATTACTCACCTAAAACTAAACTCCCTCACTCCATCCGGCACTTACACCACCCACACAAGCACTAGGTACTTACTTTTGGCAGCCTAACCAACTAACTAGTTAGCACAAGTCACTAGTTAATTAGTCCCGCTGCCTTACGAGTCCCCTACTAGTACTCCGTAGTCACCCACAAACCACCACCAACAACAAACGTCCGGGCTTCCCGGGCTGCGGGGTGCAGCCTTAGTATCCCGTACTATAACCCTGGGGTATATTTAACTAGTTCGTTAGGGGACGGACGGGAGGACGATGACTCCTTTACTCCTTCTTCTTCTTACTATTATTCGACGATAGTTAGTTGGCTGCTACCTACCTTGCAGAGTTTGTTAGTTTGGCTTGGGTAACCCCACTTTCTTCCTTCCTTCCAATTTATATTACCGTGTGCGTGCGTGTTGGTTGGAACTGAAGGATTCTTCAGACTTTCTGGTAGTCCGGCTTGTGATCTGCAGCTGTTAGTGTCGGGGTGGTGTGGCAGGTGACTATCTATCTACTCTTAGCATTGCTAAGTGGGTAGTGTTGTTGAAAGTGAAGGTGTGGGTGTATGGATGGATGTATAGGTACCTGTGGAGTACTTGACCTATGGTTAGGAGGAGCTGTGGGTATGTGCGTGCGTAGGCAGGTGCCGTTATGTGCCTGTGCTCTTTGTCTCTCTCTGTCTCCGTATCTACTATCTGTCTGTTTTGTGGTTCGGTGGTTCTCGGAGATTTTTGTACCAGTAATATAGCATTAGTAGCAGTATGTACTGCCAGGATCGGGAATGTATCATCTAAGCACATGGCAAAGTGGTATCTGCTCAAAGGATATATTGACCGCTACCTGCATAGCTAATTCAAGAACAAAAAAAGTGAAATGATAATGTGATAGAATGAAACAATCAATCAATCTTCGCTCCTGGAACGCCAACCAGACTCACATCACGTCTTTTGCATAGCATAGAAGAGAAAACAAAAACAAAAAAAAAAAAAAAGAGAGAAGCAACCCACGGAAAAGGAAAAATGCCCGAGCTGATCAGCAGGGGTCCGATCCAATCCAGCCAGGTAAACTGTCTCATCACTGCCATCCTTCGTCGGGGAATAATCGGAATAACAGCTCATGCCGGTTGAGTTCAAGACATGGCAATACTCTCAACTACGCACTAGCTCCATTCTCGCCCTCTCCGGATGGGTAATCCGTCATCCCCTCATCCTGTCCGTCACCGCTGTCCCCGGCCAGCACCTTCGTCCGAGGGATCTGATGGTCCGGCAAGGGCGTGCCCGGCGTCGCGGCAACCACGTTGTCGTTCTCATCGACGAACTCGAAGTTGTATCTCGACAGCAAGTGCGGGATAGCCGAGAGCTGCGGGCCATACCGGGCCGTGTTGTCGTATAGTTCGAAGAGCGGGACGGCAAGGAGCTTCATGTTCTTCGGGACGGAGAGGACCTCTGCACAACACATGTTAATTTAGACCATTCTTCCCTTCTCACCTGCCACTGGTATTCATGTGTGAGAGATGGAATGCTTACTCTTCTTCGGCAACTGAATGAAATACAACTTCTTGCACTCCTTCGGCCGAGTCACATGTCCCGGCAGGAACGGGTACATGAACGTCTCAAAGTTCGGCCTCCACCATTGCGCCAACGTGTCCCCGATCTCCCAGTCTTCGTTCACGCCTTCGCCCGAGAACTGCGAGCCGACGGGCGCGAGACGCTCATTGAGTCGTTTCTTGAAGCCCTCGACTTCGTCGTCCTCGAAGTTGAGGTAGTCACCGGGACTAGATACCAAAAACAATGTAAGTAAGAAACTCGAAGCTCTATAATCCACATGGTATGGAAACGCACAGCTTGAAAAACGCGTTGGCAATCTGCAGCATCAACACATGAGGATGGTTGTGTTCGTGGCAGACGAGGACACCCTCGCAGGTGCGTCTCATGCCATGTAGGTCGTAGTGCTCCTCGAGACGTTTTAGACGCGCCAGCACAGACGGGTCCTCCTCCGGTTGGGTTTCCTTGGTGCCGAATGTGTAGTTGGATAGGGGGTACAGGCGGATTGTTTTGGGTTGTTGCGCGGAGAAGTCTTTGGGGATGATGGGGCTATTATTCAGGACATGGTCAGTGGTGAATGCGTGGAGAAGGAAGCGGTAGTGAGGTAGGTCGGTGGCAGGACGTACGGGCGCGAGCTTTGGATCGCTGTCGCGGTGGTGGTCGACATGGTGAACGCAGGGGAAGCCAATGCGCCGCGAGTAAACAGGCTAAAGGAGTCGAATGCTGGATACGTAGTCAGGAAGTCAAGAGCGGCTGGAGCTCTCGGTGGTGGATCGGCGATGATGGCGGAGCTGGGCTCGGCGTCGGAGCGGTCCTCCCGCGAAAACATTCGACCGCCCCGATGCTCGCCATGTCAGTCTACTAGGCTTAAGACTACAAAGTAGCAACTGTTAAAAATGGTGTTGAATCATCATATGGTTTATTCTTTGCTGATTCTATTCTCATTTATCAGAGTAAATCTAACTCAAATCACAACCTAACCCCAAACACAGCCCCGTCCCTCCCATGCAACAAGCCCACGCCAACTATGCAAACCCAACAATACAACATCATGTCTATCAATGCGACGGACTTCCGCCCCAACATCCAACTCGATCATGAAGTTTAAAGCTTGGCATCAAAGTCTTCGAATTCGCTAAGATCGGTCACCGGGCTGGGTCCAGCACTGACGGCCAGACGAGCCTTGAACTCGGGGACATTGTTGATGTAGGTAGACTGCTGGAGGTCACCGTTCGTGCCGTTCGGCTGGACAGCTGTTCCATCACTCTTAGGCTCGATGCCGGCTTGCTTCAATTGCAAACCCAGGCTGCTTTCGATCTGCGCGATGACGGGCTTGGTCTGCTGCTCGGAGAGACTCATGCCAGACTCGAGGAACGCCTTCAGAGTGGCCAAAATTTGAGCCTCGTCGCCGCTCGACACATCGACAGTGGCAAAAGCAGTGCTCAGACGTTCCGTGTCCACGGCGAAGCCAGCCGCCTCCAATTGCTTGCCGAGGAACGAAACGACCTGGGCCTTCTGCTCCTCGGGCTTGGTGGCATGCGCATGCGCACCGGCCTGGGCCTTGAGGTGAATCGCCAGCTTGGCCCGAGTCGCGGATTTGGGGTAGACGAATTGCTTGTAGAACTGGATGAGGTCGGCCTTGGTCAACGTCCGGACGTTCGCAGCATCGCTTTCGTTCTGCACGAAGTCGAAGTATTCCGAGCCGATATGGGACCAGAACCGATTGGTCTCAGAGCTCAAGTTCTTGAGTTTCTCCAGTCGCTTGTTGATAACACTGCGCTTGTGGCTCTCAAACTCTTGCTCGGACATATTCGCCAAACTCTTTCCGAAACCGGTCAGGAAAGCGTCGATGCGAGACTCGAGATAAGCAGCATTGCGCTCACTCTGGATGATCACACGGTAACCCATGGTCGTCGCAGAGTAGCGGGCGCCACTCCAGACAACATAACCAAGCTGCTCCTTGCTCCGCAGTTGGTCAAAGGCAGGCTCATCCGTCATCTGAGCAAACAGCAGCAGCTTGGCCCGCAGAGCATCGTCGTCAAGCTTTCCAACGAACAAGTAGTATTCAATGCAGTGGTTGACGTTGGCAGGATCCTTCAGGGCACGCTCGTAGACATAGTTGGCGCCCGGGGGAAGGATCATGTTGCGTCTAACGTGCCACTGGGATTCGGGCAGCGCACGGCTTTGAAGAGTCGACTCCACCAAGTCGGTCATGCGCAGCGCATCCTCCTTGTACAAGTTACCGTGGGCCAGGACTTCGATGTGATTCTGGCGGAGAAGTTGAGGGAAGAAGCATGAAACGTCATCTGCCTCGATGTGTACCAACTCAGCGGCATACTGCTCGTTGAGCCACGTCCTTTCGGCAGTCAAGTAGCGCGTGTAGTCGCCAACCTGATAGAACGGTTGCTGGTACTCTGCGTTCTTGTAATTCCGAGTCATACGCTCTTTGATGATGTTGAAACGATCCGGTTTGATGACCAGGTCCCGCATACTGGTAAGCACCTTTTCAAGGAGAACCGACATCTTATCATTGTATCCGCCAACTGAGATATCAAGGCCGAAGAGGCTGGCAGACAACGAATAGTCGAGACCCGCAAGCTCTGCGTCGTAGGAGTACTCATTCAGAGCGTCGCGAACCAGCTCGCAGTAGAACTTGGTCTTGACCAGGTTTGCCGGGGTAGCATACGCCAAGGGATTCCTCAGCGTGACATGAACAGTCGCCTTGGGGACCCAGAAACGGTCATCCTTCTTGTACCACAATCGGACATGGTCATCATGACGGATCAGCTTGGGGGTCTTGGCCGGCTCGGACACCTCCTTCTTCTCCACAGTGAGCCTGGTAGGAACGAACTCGTTCTTGTGTGGAATGTGGAGCTCGGACAGTCTACTCTCGGGAGAGGTCTCCGCAGCCTTGCGGATGCTGTCCATGAAGTCTTCCGGAATATCTTCGACCTTGTACTCAGTTCCGTACCATTTCTCACGGCAATTCCAGTCACCGGGGTAATCCTGGGCGACAATCACCATTCTGAAGTTGTCGGGTCGCAGGTACGACAGCGCCTTCTTGACCAGCTCGGGTTCGAACTTCCGCAGGAGGTTGCCGCTGAGAAGCCATTCCCTGGGGTAAGGCTTCTGCATCACGCTGCTCAGGCGACTCGTGAAGCGACTGGCGGGGGACTTTTGCTTGAAACGGAACTCGACTTCAGCCAGGTTCTTCATTTCATCGAAGATCCACTGCTGAGGCTCGCGCTCCTTGATCATGCCGATGTACTCAAACACCACCTTGGTGACCTCGCGATACTGTTTCAGACCCTCGGGAGTCAGCCGAACGGAGATGGTGAAGAAGGCGGAGCCCGGGCAAACAGGCATCACACCTGCGGACAAGCCGTTTGCCCAACCCTTCGCTTTGATGTAGGCCAGGATGCTGCCTGGACCTTCATGGCCGATCAGATGGCTCAGATAACGGCTGGGTTGGGATTCGAACAACGACTCTTCATCCATGAAGGGAAAGTACAAGTCGAGCGAGCGCATATCCATGACTGGTTTGGCGAAGATCTGTTTGCCCAAATGTTCCGGTAGGCAAGGTTGAACGTGGTCCCAGCGGTTCTGGGGAAGATCTTGGTTCTTCACATGTTTGAACAAGTCACTCACCCACTGCTCCATTTCATCCAGAGAGTCCCGTCCCAGCACCACCAATTTCATGATGTTGGACGAATAGTGCGCCTGGTAGAATTTGATAAACTCCTGTCGGACCTCCAACCCCCGCTTTTGCGGCTCCTCTTTCAGAGTCTGCAGGTTCCCGGTCGAGAAATGGTGGTACGGGTGGGCAGGGTTGGACAAACTCTTGTTCAATTGCATCAACCGCCACAGGTCGCTCTGCAGGTTCTTCTTATTTTCCGAATCTACTGCCTGCAGCTCGCGGTCCAAGGTCGACTCGAGAAAAAGGGGCTCTACGAAGAACTGCGCAAAGCGATCCAGAGCACCATACAGGGGCGACGTGTGGTGGTTCGGCTTTGCGGGTGTGTCTGTGCCGTTCAATGTTCCATTGGCGTCGTTAGGTGTGTCGTCAGGAGAAGCCGTGGTGGCACCGACCTCAAAGAAATAGTTCGTCTCGGTGGCTGCGGTATAGGCGTTGGAGGAACCGGAGTTGGATGCTAGGTACTGATTGTAGGCATTCTCCTTGGGATACTACACAGGGTTAACATGTTTTCGCATAATCTCAAGCGGACAATGGGTCTCGTGTTCCGAGGGGGACCACCTACCTTCATGGTTCCCATGAAAAGCAGATGTTCTACCGCATGCGCCATGCCCGGCATGTCGTCTGCGTCTGAAAAGTTGCCGACATTGACATTGACGGCCGCACTAGCCTTGTCTGTGTCGGGATCATGTACGAGAAGAGCCTCTAGTTTGTTCGGCAGGCGAATGACACGATAGGAGCGATCATCGAGCTCGGGCTTCTCCAACTGCTCAGCGAGGCGCTCGATAGATCCCATGGTTGCGGTATGAGAGAAGAGGCGAGCACAAGAAGGGAGGGAATGCGAGACAAGGGCGTGAGACGAGCGCAGGGCAGGAGATGAGGAGTAGCGCTCGTTCGGTGTGGGGAAGCGTGGCGAGGGGTAGATAAAAGGAGGGGCAATCGCCGCAGAGGCGCCTGACTTAGAGAAGGCGCGAAAAGCTGGGGAGCGAAGATATAAAGGCACTCGAGAGTTCCACAAGCGGCGTGTTGCAGGGGACCTTGGAGGCATCCAGAGAAAGGAGGGATCGGTTGCCGGGAAGCACCGCTCGGGGCGCAGGCGGTGTTGGAAAGTTGCCGGCGTGAAAGTGAAAGGGGGTAGGGAAGTCCCGTATTTGAAATTAGCAGTTTGAGAACTAAACAGAGCAAATGGGGTTAGCAGAACGCCACGTAGGAAGAGGTGAAGGGGCAAGCGAGGCAATTACCGGGGTCAATGGTCGAAGTATATCTTGTGGCACGAAGGAGGGAGAGTGACTTGTCGGTGGGTTCCTCGGCGGGAGGCGATGCACAATGCATGGCTTGGGGCATCCTAGGCGGTGAAGCCCCGCGATAAGGCGGTCAACGTGGGATACTTCATTGCATATTGTCTGTTGCCAGTGAATTGGTTACTCTTAAATTCTGTGATGTGAATTAGATATTTAAAGATGTTTTGCTTCTATGTTGAAGTGCAACACCAACTACTGGTAGTTGGCCCTTCACCCGGGGGCTATTAATATCACTACTAGTGCTACTACATATACCTCGGCAACTCCGCAGCTGGATATCTTCAGATTTCAAATTATCAGTCCACTTCCCAATTAATGAGTCTAAGATTCAATCTCAATGTAGTATCATTGCTTCTACGTAGTATTCACTCATGATCATCTACTTCTTCACCCAAATCGCATTGTCTCCGCTTACTGAGGAGTATGTGTAGCCGACTACGGCGAACACCTGTTCACTTTATAAATAAGTAGATGCATGCAGCAACTACAAACACACTAACAAATACGTGAGTATATATGTAGTGGATAAGCCATCGTGCCCTACCATATCGTCATTGACACATTGATTGGCTCTCATCAGGCATGCTTCACTGGAAGCTAGACCGCATATCCACTACTCCATATTTAAACATATATATACCAAACACAGCTATTACTTCCCAGTGAAAAAAACTACCATTATGTAATATGAGCTTGCACTACTCTATACTTAACTAATCCCAGTGATCATGACATGGCATACAATCAATAAATTCAGCTAGTGACATACCTACACACTCTCTAGACATTTCACAATCGATCAATCCGCAAGTCAACACAAATAACAACATCACATTAAACCCCCAGATACCCTAATAATCCCTAATTCTCGACTTGCCACTCCAAACCCTAAACCAGAAACCCATCCAGCCTAACAACTATCCGCACAAACCGTCAAGACCTCATCCGCCTCATCCTGACAACTCCTCACAACACTTCCAGCAGGGGGCACACCCCCAGCCCAACAAATACTCTGGCAGCTAGCATCACTCGAGACAAGACTAACCACACTACCCGAGAACGGATCGCCATAGACATCCGAGATATCATAAAAGACGTTACCGGAGGACGTATCCAAAGTATAGGCGTAATCCGTCTGCGGAGCGCCGCTGTACAGACCGTTTTCTGTGGTGGTGATCTTCAGGGCGACACCGCCGGAGGTCGTATCGTAGTAGAAGGTCTCGCTGTAGCTGGAACCCGGGTCGATGGTTTGCATGCTGCTGACGGAGCCGCCCACGGACCAGAGGTAGATCGGGGAGGTGCAGTTGTTTTGCACGATGGCGGAGCCCGTGGCGGTGGTTAGGGGGAGGAGGGGGAGAAGTAGAGAGAGGGCTTTGGTGGTGAGATGCATGGTGGTTGATTGTGGTTGTGGAAGTAGTACTTTAATTGGGGTTGAGTGATGTGAGGATTGTTGGATGGGATAGGACTTCGATGGAGGGTGGAAGGGTGGGTTATATATCTATTTATTTCTAGTCGGTAGACATAGCTACTTAAGTTGTATTCATATTCATGGAGGTATGAGAATAATAGCAACTACATCATAGCAAACACCATCATCCCACCCATCCATAACAAAGACATAGGCATAGGTCATAATGTCTCACATCTCCTCTCCATCTCCATCGCCAAGTACATTAGCAGTCCACCAAATGCATTAGCAGCATATAGTACCACCCCAAAATAACACCTGCACTATTCCAATCAATCGAACCGAAGCGAAGAGAACACTCGATGAATCAACTGACCCCGACTAAAACCCAACCAATGGATTCCATCTCACCGCTTATATTCAGGCGTCCCATAGATTAAACCTGCAATTACCTTGCCATTTAATAAACTGGCTAGGAGGCTCAGTCCGTACATATGCGAATATAGGAAGTATTGCAGTGCGGCTTACCCCGCGGGGTTCGTGCGTGAGACATTAGTTACATTATGTGAGAGAGAGAGATAGATGCGTATGGTTAATTTGACTATTGTGTATGTCATGGTCAGGTGCATAAGTAAGCACATAAGCAGCGTGATGTCGGATGTAAGTCATAATAGGTACCACGATCCAATCATGAGATTTGGCTGTGGAGGAGTCATGGATGAACTACTCATGTATGTCTCAGTTCGGTTGCGGAGATTCGGATGATCGGATGGAGTTTCCTTGGCAGGAGATTGAGTAGTCAGCGGGTGTGTCTGCAGGTTGCTCGTATTGCAGTGGGTTCTAGTTAGTGGGTTAATTGTCTCGTAGGCGAGATAGATTAATATATTGACGGGAGGCCTTGCGTGGGTTGCATCTATTGTTGTTTGAGGGAGTTGCTGGGTGGATGTGGTTATGGTGCTATGCGGCAGCCTGGACTACCTTGGATGGGATGAAGAATTGTTCTTCCTGCCCGCACACTAACCATTTCAGTTATAGAGTTACCCTATGATTAGCGTTCGGTATGTGAACAACTACAGCGGAATGCCTGATCATGAAGTATGCTCAACCAGTACCCTGCATCTCTACTAGGTACAATTGCAATGTTCGTCCAAGACAAAACTGAACTTCCCACCTATGCATAGATCCAACACAAACAAAATTACAGCGCGCACTCCACTTAAGACCCCGCTCAGCCCGGCACCGAACGGGCCTCCGCCTGGTTCTCCTTCGTTGGGGACCGGCTCTTCGACTTGGGCTTCTTCTCATCTTCCGTCTCCTCGCTATCTTGCACGTCCGCACGCTCGGAGATCCATTGGTATACCTCCTCTTTGTGGTGCATGAGCATCTCACTCAGACTGGCTTTGGGCGATTGGACGAGCTGGCCGTAGCGCTTAGATGGCTTGCGCCGTGTCTCCACGTTGTTCCAGACGCCGTGCGTGTGCGAGACGAAGACAAGGGAGTTCTGGTAATGTGAGTAAGGAATTACAGGTTTGAAGGGGTCAACTGGCTTACATCTTTGTACCACCGCGACAGCCAAACCTGGGTGTGAGAGGCTATGGCGCGAACCGGGTTCTCGGCAACGAAGGAAACAACGCTGTTCACTCGTTTATACAATGTTTCTGTTCACACATCAGCCGCTGCCTCCCTTTTCGAGCAAACTAACTCACCTCGGTTGATTAGTAGGTTGGCTACTCCGTAGAAGGCATTGCCTACGCCCATGAAGAAAATCTCGGTGGCCTCGCTCGGTCTGCAATTGTCAGTTTCAGGCTACTTGTTGATAGTCTCGGCATCACTAACTCGATATAGTTATCCCACAGGTAGCCCGCCAATTCCTCAGTAGCCGTGGGCCGATTTTCGTCTTCTTCCTCATATTTACCGGATGACTGTGTGGATCAGTACTCATTCAACAGCTGATATAGTCACCGAGCTTACAGGATCGATCGTCACATGCTTAGGGATATTAACATCGATGACTGCATACCCCTTGCTCACAGCCCATCCAATGTATTCCTTCATGACATCAGCCTACCACTGTCAGCACAAGTCCAATAATATGGCGCAGACACATACCAGCCAGCAGTTATGGGCTTCCAACTTGTTAGTGACGGGATGGGGCAAACCCATGATCTCAGGACTGCGTATGGTTAATTAAACGCTTGATTGCCGATTATTCATCGGCAGCGAACTCACGGATCATGAAATATCACTACAAGTGGCACGGCTTGGTGATAGTTGGGGCTGTATGGAGTTAGCTAAGCCAAGCTCGTTGTGGGTCTACTTACCTTGCCAGAACCTGATTTTCGAATGACCGGGAGATGGCAGTACGATATATGAAGAGAGATGTGAGCTTGTAGTTGTCGTAAAGTTGTTTTGACTGGTAAGCGCGTATAACATCTGCAGGAGTTAGCATTGCCGGGTAATGGGTGCGGAACCTTACCATGGAGCCTATCAGTGAAGAGCCCATCCTGAGGAGGCCCTTTAGGGTACATGCAGTGCCAGTAATGCGACTGGATCATCATCACACGCCGTACAGTTGTGGTGGCCAGAGCTGAGGGTGAAGTGGTATGAAGTCGGTCCGGCGGGTCTCCCATCAGCGTTTTTGTGACAGCGAGTGCTGACTTGGAGATAGACCTAAAGTTGTAACCACCCTATTGTTTGGTAAGCCTAAAATTCTCAACAACCTCGGTGTGTGCATACCTCGAGACAAACGGCAACCTTGCCATTGGCAAGCGTCATGAGCATGTGTGTCATGTGAGCGTAGCACGAAGGTGTAACAAAACATCCACCAAGCTCGTCGCCTGCAGCCGCATCAAACCCGGAGGCAACTGATCCATGTTAGAGATACACACCCACTACTCGAGTCCTTACGTACCGATGACAAGGTCCGGGTTGAACTCATGAGCAATTGGCATGACAACTTGTTGAAAAGCATACATATAGTCACCATCGCCCATCCCTTGGCTCGGCCAGGGTATATTCACGTTTCTGAAGATGTTAGAGAAGCTTCGACATAACAGCAATCTAGGAGCATACCTTCCAACACCCGGGCCTTCACCACAGTGATCCCAATCACCTTCTTCCCCTCCAGGATAGAATTTCCCATCCTGATACACATGGAGTGAGATGTATAGGATATTAGGGTCATCATAGAAAGCTTTTTGAATACCATTCCCTAGAAGAGTGAGTCAGATATTTTCATTCCATGCGTATTATGAGCCCCTAATTACCGTGATGCACGTCCCTAGTCGGTCAGTATCTCCGCAGATTGAAGTGAAAAGGGCTAAGCATACCAGTCGAGAATCAAAATCTTTCTGCAGCTGTCACCTAGTCGATTCTGACAAACACGGGCTGCTACAGAGACATTATTGAACAGACAAAATCCCATAGTTTTGTCGTGCTCGGCATGATGCCCCGGAGGCCGGATCACTGCAATGGCATTCTTGACCTTCCGGGTTGCAACAGCCAAGCATGTCTCAATCGCGCCTCCAACTGACAGAATCGATGATGCAAACGTCAATTTATTAAAGTAAATCGAGTCACGTGTGTGTTCCAATGCAATGAGCTCATCATCAGACATGTCTGTTAACCGTTAGAGAACCAGAACAAAAACCAGAACCTGAAAGACTTTGAACATAGGTCTACCTTTGGTGCTTTCTACGAACGCAAAATGATCAGGCGTATGAATGAGCGAGATCTCCGCTTCAGTAGCATTGCGAGCATTGATGCGCTTTAGCGGTCGCGAGACCAGCGGACGGCATGATTCGGGATCATCGACTAGTCCCGCTCGACAAAGTTCCTTGTAAATGTAGTAGATCCGTCGCGGATCCTCTGGATGAACGTCCGCTGTTGGCCGCACTTCACAGTGATAACGCATCTGAACGTCATAACATAACCCAGAAGGAAGTGAGGCGATGGGAAGCCCAGTGCGGGCTACAGTATCCTCATCAGTCCAATCCGAGTTGTCCTCGACAAGGCTATCTTGCTTGTCAAAGTCTTCAGTAGTGGCGTCGCCAGAGTCTGACTTGGGCAGGCTTTTAGGTGGCGATACTCCCTGATCTTCTGCCGATGCCGTGTTCTCAGGCCTCGGGTCTCCCGAGTGTACAGACAACGGCAGCTTCATGGTCGGACCCAGCAATGGCGGTGCAATAGATGGATCCGAGCTACCATTGAGCTGACCAGCACCCTGGCTGCTGGGCCCATTGCTTGGCCATTGATGTGAAGAAACAGAGGTGGGGTGGTGGGAGCCTGCCTCTCCCATGACGGTGTCTTCGTCCTCGTCCATTGCCATGGAGATTGGATGTGTGAGAGCGCCTAGTTTCTTCCTGACTGATGATTTACCAGTGCGCAAATGTCATGGTCAAATGCGCAGATTAGAATCAGATAATGTTCAATAGACGGTAAAGTAACACCAGGAATACGACGAATGCAGATGACCCAAGGCACCGGTGGCAGACAAGTGAGAAATAAGTAAGAGATTAGACTAAGTTGATCGGGGTTGGAGCCTTGCGAACCAGCACACAAGCAGAACCGAGGTCGCTGTATGGAGAGTTGAGAGAGCACAAAACAAGGGAACTAGTAGATAGTACTAGGTCCGAAGCTCAGAGGCTCAGCCGCGACAACGACCAATGCAAGGAGGGACCAGACCGTATCAGAAGAAAGTGAAAGCGTCGCAAAATACAACTTCAGGCCAAGTCTAAAAGGCCACGGGTGGCTGTTGGTACGGTAGTCACCGCAACGCGCACACCAGCATAGGAGATCTGGTCCAGGAGTCTTGGATCAATGTAGCTCTAAAATCCGTGGTCGAACTGCCCTCCACGTGACTTGGATGGCCGCGGACACCCCTCGGACCACCCAAAAGTACCAAGTGAACACTAAAGAAGGGGATATTGAGCTCGTTTTGTTTCTTGAAGGAGATTACGAAAATCTGCAATGACTGGGATGTGGCATGGACCAAAAGCCTGTGGTATCATCCTTCTTGCACCGGTAGAAAGCGCCGAGAAAATCCCGCGGCTCGCCGAAGTCGATTAAGCATAGTT